ATTCTAAAGTAAGAAAGAATATCTAAAATATTATACTATAGGTATAAAGTATTTATTAGAAATAATAAGATAATTAGTAAGATTATTAAAGTAGATTTCTAGCTTATCTATATTAGCTAAGCTAAGTAAGAATAGAGTTTTTATAAGTATAATATAAAATTATACTTGCCTAATTAGTATTCTTACTATTATAGATCTAATAGAGGATATAGATCTAATACTAAACTAAATATTAACTTAATCTTTAGTAGTTTTATTAAGTTTAATACTATTATTAGTCTACTATAAAGCTTGGAATTAGTTAGAACTAATAGTTAAGAATCTAGAGGCTCTGGTATTAATTATAACTTTATAAAAGTAGTAAGTATTATATCTTAATATATTATTAATTATAAATATCTAGATATCTTTTATTTATTTAATAGGCTTTAAGATATAATTTTCGCCTATTATCTAGTATATAAGGGAAAGAAATATAAGGTTATTTATAAGAATATTAGTTATAGGAATAGCAGGAGTAGGAGCTATAGAAGTGGCTAGGAAACTTTTAATAGAAATAAAGTAGAAATTAGAGTAATATTTCTTTTCTTTATCTATTTCCGCTAGTAAGGCTTTAAAAGCATTATTTACTAGTTTGTTCTTATTATTCTCGTTATTCTCTTCTCTTTTAAATTCGGTAATATATTATATATAAGTATTACTAAAGCATTTATTAAAATTGCGGGTATTTCGGAATCTAAATTAGTAAATATTTCTATTCTTAAATTAAGCCTTCTTAGCCTCTTATTTCTCTGGTATATATTTCTATAAATAGTATTCGGGTCTCTTATATATAAAATACAACTTCGGAGTATAATTATTATAATTATAGGGCTTAGAGTAGTTATTATAGGTTCCGAAGTTATAGTTAGATCTATATTAATAATTTCCGAATAAATAATAGTTTAGAGAATTTTAAGAATAGTATTTTTAATTAGTAAAAAGAATCTGGATATTAATCTATTATTTCTTCTTATAGGTAATAATAGATAATTAGAGCTTATTAATAAGCTAGCTAAGATTATTAAGAAAGTCCGAAACTATATATTAGTATATTAGTAAGCCTTAATAAAAGGTAATAATCTTATTATATAGAAATTTAGTAGTTTATAAGGCAGGAGTAAGGCTATATTATAATTTATATAGGTTATTAATTAGTAATTAGACAAGCTCAAATATTATCTTTTTAGGGTCTTTTACTATTATAATTACTAAGGTAATAGTATTTTATTTATCTAAATTTTAATAATAGTAACCGGAGCCTATAAAGAAATTACGAATATTTATATAAGCTTCTTTATATATATATATTAAGAGAGCTAGTTATTATAGAAGTAGTCTTATACTAGTTTCTTTAATATAATAGGAAAAGCTCTTATTAATATCTCTTCTGAGAGCTCTATATATTAGTAGATATTAAGGAAAATAGCGAGTTTTTAATTAAAACTATTATTAGTTTTATTATATTTCTATATTTCGGTATATATCTTTATTATTTCTCTAATAAGCTTTCTAGTAATAATAATAGAAATTAACTAAGGGTTCTTCGGATATAGTAGATCTAGTAATAATAGTAAAGATAGAAGTAGTAGATAATCTTAATTTAGAGAAAATAAATAAATATCTTAATTTAACTAGCTAGTTAACCGAGAATACTTGGTTTCCTTTTATCTAGTTCTTTCTAGAATAAGATAAATTAATATAATAGATCTCTTTAGAAGATCTATTCTAATTAGGCTATCTTTAATAATATTAGCTTTATACTAAATATATATTATTTTCTCCTAAATAATATTAAGTAGAAACTATACTATAGTAAGATATATATAGTTCTATTTAATATAGATACTATTATATTAAAGGTATTTTCGAAGAATTTATAGTTTAGTATAGCTATATTAACTAAAGGTTATATTACTAAAGTCCTTAAAATTATTCTTAAATAGATTCTATAGGTTCTTATTAGAAGTTCTATATAAGATATACTAATATAGCTTAGTATTTAGATATTTCCGAAGATTTACCTTTATAGTATTATTAGTATTAATTCTATTTTTCTATTTCTTAATTAATTTCTTTTCCTTTTTATTATCTATACTAAACCAAGTTTAGTCTCTCTCTAATATATATATATGATTTATAGTAAGAGGTATTTAAAAATAAGATAGTTTATAGTAGGTTTATAGAAAGGGTTTAGTAATAAAGATATCCAAAGTATCCAGATACCTAATTTAAATACCAGACACTCAGATATCTAATAAAGTATTAAAGTAAATATTTTGCCCTTAAATATTTCGTCTATAACGAGAAATTTAAGAAGTGAAATATTATAATTCCGGGAGGGTCTAAAGCTCGAAGAACTCGATTTTTAATAATAAAATCGAAATAGTAGTTAAAGAGCTTTAAGGGCATATATAGGGCATATATTCTAGAGAGAGAGTTCCGTAAATACAGGTATTATATAAGTGAAAAAGATAGTTTCTAAGAAGGTAGTCTTAGGGCTAAAAGAAATTGGTTTTAAAGAATAGTAAAAGTTAAATAAATAGATAAATAGTTAAATAGCTAACTACTTCTTAATTAGTAAGAGCTAGTATTTTCTCTTTAGGCTACCGAATACTTTTCCGAAGTTAATAGTAGTTTCCTCCTTTAACTAGAAGTAAACTACTTATTTTAGGCTACTAAATACTTTTCCGACTAGCTAGATCTTTCTCTAATCTATAAGTACTAACTAATTAGTATCGGTTTACTAGTAATATATAGTACTATTATATAAGTCATGAAATGCTATTTATATATAATTAGTAAAGTCATTATTCAGAAATAAGAATTATAGTATTATAGTATTAATATGCAATCCCTAAATCTGCTAAGCCTAAAGGGGTCTAGTCTACTAGTCAAGTCACTAATAGGATATAAGGTTATATAACTATATCCTGTATCTTATATCCCGTAACTATATATGTAACTTCTAAAGAAATAGCTATACTAATAATAAATTAAAAGTATTTAAAATAGTTATAAGATTTATTTTTTAGTAAAATGCCCTAAAATAATAAACTTATATTAATAGACTTATTAATAATTATAATAATTAAATACCTTAAAAAACAATATTTAGGCTTATTTAAATATTAATTAATAATTTATATTAATTATAATATAGCCTTATTCTTATTTTATAAAATATTAAATTAATTTAAAATTAAGCTAAAAAAAAATAGAAATAGAAATTAAAATTATATTTAAATAATAAAGCTTAGTTTTTTATATTTATATTTTTAAGTTTTAAATTTATTTATTAAATCCTTTTTATAATATTTAATAAGATTAAAATTAAAATAAATTAAAATAAATTAAATATATTATATATTAGTTTTAAATATTAAATAAAAAATATAATAAAGTATTTTATTTTATAATATTATAATATAAGAATTATAATATACTAGCTTATATTTATATTAAAAATTTAATTTAAGATTTTTAATAAATATAAATAACTAATTACAAGTTATTAATATTCTTATTTTTATTAATATCTTTAATTAATATTTGAAAAAAAGAAATTATTTTAGCTTTTTTTAAAGTTATAAAAAAGAAGTTTATTAAAATAAACTTTTTATCTCAAATAAAAGCATTTCAAGTTATTAATAAAATTAAAAAGATTAAAAAGATTAAAAAGATTAAAAAGATTAAAAAGATTAAAAAGATTAAAAGAATTAAAAAGAAAATTAGTATACTTTTATAAATTCTTATAATACCTCTAATATATTTATATAATATTTTTAAAATATAGATATATATACTTAAAATAGTAATAATAGAAGGCTAACTTTAATTAGAATATCTAAGTACTTTCTTTAGATAAACCCTAGAATAAGTACTTATGCATTTGAGAATTTGATTTCTTTTTAGTCTTCTTTCCCTATACTTAGTAAGCTGATTTTTGCAATTTTATTCTAAAGTAAGTATTTTTTCCCTGGCTATTCTTTAGCCTCTGCCACGCATATAAAAGGCAGGCAAGAAGCATGTCCCTCTCTTCCCTCTTATAATTGCTTACAAAAATATATTCTCAATGCATATGCTTAAAGTATACACATATACTTCGCACACTATTGCGCGCCGGAGACGCGTGACGCCATTCCCCTAGCCTATTAAGGTCCCCAGTATTGGTAGGGGATAAGCTTTAGAACTCCCAGAATTAGCACGATGGCTAGTTAAGCTTATACATCAGAACGTGCAGAAATAGTGACAAGCCTTTCCCAAGATGCAAAGCACAATATGTGACCGTTTATACATCATCCAGCAACGACGATCACCAAAGGCACGCGCATTTTCTCCGAATCCCCATTATTCAGGGTGCCTCGAGGCAGGAATTCCAAGGAGCAGCTTTGTGACTCCATCTCTAAGAAGGTTGCTGCCCTCCAGGAAGAACAGCGGCAGGCATTCCTCTCTTTGCGCAACTCTTTTGGGGGTGAAGACGGCCCAGGCGGAAGAGCTCCGACTAATGCGCTGCAAGTACGAAGACAACGGCATAAAGTATCTGGAATACAGGGCGTTGGGAGACTTTTAGGCTCTCCAGCATATAGATTAAGGTAGTAAACTCGCTCTAAGGTCCTATATTTCCAGGCCCTTCCCCTAAAATCAGGATTTACGCCTTCGACAAGGGCTACCACACCTTTTCAGTGCTTATCCCCTGTACTTACAAGGGAGTCTTCGCTAAAGGAGGCCTATTAGTAGCTTGTTTAGCGTCCGAGCGCTACAGTTGCTCTACCAACAGCGCTATAACCTTAGAAAATTTACTTATCCCTTGCGAATGTCTTATAGCGCCTCAATACGTTAATTTGGGGAGTACTGCCTAGAGTTGTAGGGGCTTATAGCAAACTCTTGCCCTATAATTCGTACCTTGTAGAGTACCAATGGTCGAAATGCCCTATATTCCCGATACTTTATGCCGTTGTCTTCGTAATCGTGATTGGTTCATCTTCCAGACACATTATGCAGCTCGTTTCAATTTGGAGGCACCATAATGAATTGTGACAAAAGATTGATTGATTATTTTAAGCCAAGGAGGCCGATAGCCCCGTCATATACTTATGGACGAGTAAATTTGCCATCACGTGCTCCCCTGCTCTTCTGTTGCTGAGCTGTCTTGGCGCAGGTTATCGCCGCCAGTCGGGAGATCTAAGCTGGGCGTGGGCCGCCAACGAAGAGGTAGCTGTCCCAGGAGGAGCCGCTCTCCATATCAAGGGCGATGGTGTACGGATCGGGGCCGCCGGAGACTGCTGCATCGGCGGAGGCATAGCCATTGTTTTCGGTCATGCCGCCATTTATGTCGGTCTGGAGGCGCAGGTTGCGTAGGTACGCGGCCTTTTGCCATCCGCCGGCGGCCTGATAACCGCTGCCCATCTGATCCTGGGTCAGTTCCGGATTGGCAAGGCTGGAGTAGACCTCGCCGCCGCATCCGACCCAACCCACGCTGAACTCCAGGCCGCCCTTCCAGAGCGTGGCCGGATAATAGCCCATCCAGATGCCCTGGACAGCGACCCACCAATTGAAGTTACTGGAGTTCGGCTCCTGGTAGAGCTGGAACTTCATGGAAATTTCGTATTGCGGGCCGCCGACGGTGCTGGTGCTGTTGATGCGGACCCCGGGGAAGAGGTTTTTGTCGACCTGGACCCAGCCTTTGTGCAGGCGGTTGTAGCCGCCTTCGTTGTCGCCATCCTGCTTGTAGCCGTTGGTGGTGTAGTAGGTGAAGACATGGGGTTGGGTGTCGCCGTTCAGGCTCTGGTCGACGGTCCAGCCGCCTTCGAGCGACTGGGTCACTCCAGTGCTGTAGTTCTGCAGCCAAGCCTGCATGATCGAGTGGTCGCTGCCATTGCCGCCGGCCGGGATGTTGATGGCCGGATCCCACACGCTCACTAAGCCGTCCCAGCCGTAGAACGTGCCGGTCTGGTTGTCGATGTCGTGGAAGTATCCGGATGGGTCCGGGTCGGTCGGCCCGCTATTGGGGCGAGCTTGGTTCACCTTCGACCCGCCGCGTTTGACGTGGAGATCTTTGATGTCCTTGCCCGCAGCGAATTGCGACTGCCAGGCGACATCCGGGCGGGGGATGGGAACGGTGCCCGCGGGGCCGCGCTCGATCTGGGGATCATCCAGTTCAAAGGATGCGGGCTTGGGGGCGATGTGTTCCGGAGCCAGCTGCTCCCGCAATCTCGGAGTTAGCATACTTCTTTCAGCTGTTTCCCAGAGCAGACAGAATGTTCCAGGAGTTGTTGGACGTTGCTACAAAGCTGAAGGGGAAACAATACGGAAGAGCAAACAAGACACCGAGGAGTTGAAACTTACGGCACGGCCCGCAGGACCCGCGCGCGCCAGCTCGGCAGGCGGGGCAGTTGCGATCTTGCCCAAGGGATGCTGGGTTTCGATGGGTACCCAGTCAATTGTCTGACCACTGGGTGTGATAGTGGTTTTCACGATTTTGAGCGAGGCTTGGCGGCCATTCAGCCAATCCGCGAGCGCTGGGTTGAGTGGATGCTGATCGGTTGCCATGGTTTGGTCTTGTCTTTTTAGTCTTTGTTAGGTTGATTGATATCAGGGATTCGAAGAATTTCACCCTTCAGATGAGTTTGATTTGATTTTGAATCGTCTTGGAGAATACTCGAGCTTTACTGAAACGGTGTTAAGAACAAGAGTTGAGGGAGTGGATTAGGCCCTCCATTTAAATACCCACAATCGACCCCGAAGAATTTGTTGGGCTTGAGGCCGATTTCCCCCTTGGCTTGAGGCCGACTTCATGTCAGCCATTCGTAGGTTGCGCCACCTCTCGTTCTGCGCAGATTCGGGCGAGGGCAAGATCATTCACTTGTCCGTATGACGTCTCAAACATCCGATTCCGACCTCGAAGGCTTTCTTTGGCTTGAGGCTGATTTCATGTCAGCCATTCGTGGGGTTGCACCACCTCTTGTTTCTGCGCAGATTCGGGCGAGGCATCAGGGGGCACGCAAAATCCAATCATTCATTTGTTCGTGTCTCGTCTCAAACATCTGATTCGAGACACCGAGTGATCAGGCGACGAAGACAAGCTGACACATGAGGCATTTCTGCGGCTGAACATTGCGTAGAGAATGGAATCTCCCGCCAGCTTGCTTTACGCCACAATGCACGTAGCTTTATAGAGATGGTCTGGCTTACGCCTCTGCGTTGGCTGGACGGGCTACTTACAACATAACTATCCGAGGCTAATCTTGCAGCTGAGTTAACCCTCTGAAGAGTATTTATTGAGAAACCTAGAGGACATCAGTGATAATTATTATCCAAGTCATGAAGTCGTCGTTGCTAGACGGTAATATCGTGATAAAGCTAGGATTTATTATAACTCTGCAATGTAGCTGAATATCCGACAACAACTTTTCAGCCCTATAAGGTTACACAGCAGATAGCGCTGCGTGCGACTACTGCAAGCCTTCGGCTCTATCCATTTACTGGTTAACGTACGATTCACCGAATATCTTAACACTTATTCGCTATACTTTAAGTAGATAACGAATGGCGATGCCAACCTCATGCTTTCTAATTCGGGTGGCCTGACCATAGTGGATTTAGTATGCTCAGATCATCAGGGGATCCATCACCCTAGGTACGAGGAGATTGCGGGGTAAGGACAGAAATGCATGATGATTATAATTACGAATCTAAGAAATCGGCGATAGTAAGAGAAGACTCAATGAACTACAGTGTAACGGCACGAGCGATCACAAGCTAGCGTAGAGACATATAGGAGTGCGTACGGTATGCTAAAAGGATCATTCTTATAAGCTAGCTACGAAGGAAACAAAGAAGATAAAAAAGAAGGGGAAGGAGAAGCTAGCTAAAGGAGAGGTAATAAGCCTGCGGCGCTACGCCGTCAGCCAAGACCCCCTAGCTCAGGGGTAAAGCCCCTGAGCCGTGCACGTGACTAGCCGAGCCGTCACATCTTATTAGAATATGGTGAGCTGCTTTGACCTCCTAGGCACTCTCTTGCTATGAGTCGCGGGACTCTATCACATAATGACTAACTCATCTGTTTCCTTTACTACTTACTTCTGCTTATTGCATTTAGATGCATATAAGCACCTGTACTTACAGTCTTAGAATAGTAATTCTTTCAATTCCAATCTTCGAGAATAATTAGTGACCAGACCCGTGACCCGCATTGCTAACAGGGGGAGCTGTCACGTCGCTAAATCCATGCAACCTTGAGTTTCTTGCTCAAACTTTTTATCATCATTTTAGTATGCCTAAATATCTGCAATAACGTTCGACAAGAAAGAGATCAAAGCCTCTTTTGCCCAAAAGTTATCCCAAAACACTAGCCGGCAATGTACTAATAGCCTCTTATTATAGCGAATAACTCAATAGCTACTCATTTGCATTATTCCCCAAACTGCCTTCTGAGATTCGCATTAAGATATGGCGTTTTGCAATATCTATTCCTAGGATCGTTGAGGTTATTTTTTAATAATTACTAGTAGTACAAGAATACCAACCCACTACCTCTTCTACCTGCATCGAGTCTTAACATGAATCCTTAAAAGCTTATTATACCATAAGTAGTATTACTAATCCGGAATGGATTTAATGCGATTGGGATGTTTTATATCTCAAGTACCTAGACTTTTATAATATAATTTAAGTAAGGGTAAAGTTTATATTTAGTCTCGTGACTAATTAAGATAACTTGATATTTATAATTAATCTAATTTAATTTGATTATTTGACAAACTATATATAAGAGTTTATCCTTTTTGTTTCCTTTGCCTTGCTGTCTCATCTTTTATCTGTTTAGCCTCCAGCTCAATCACTTGCCATCACGGCTCGGTCCCATTAGACTAGTCGTTTGCATCCTCCAAGTCTGCTTCCAGTGCTCGCGTCAACAGCATCCTTCACTTCACCCTCCAGAAGCGAGGATCGCAGTTCCGTTCGTTCGCTTGCAAAAGGTTGAAAATATAGTAAGGAGAGAGGCGAGCTGGAATTTCAAGTGCTGGAGTTTTACTCAAACGCGATCGCTGGGAGGAGACCAGACTTTGTCATAAAACTTCGAATTTTGTATCTTCCTATCAAAACAACCTTCAAAACTCCTCAAAATCCTTGGCAAACATCATTAAATCGAGCTAGGCTATCCACCCAAAATCAAAGTGACCTTAAATAACAAATCTGAAGTACTTATCATTCCCCAACTCATCCTGCACAGGAATATACGTCGTATCCCTCTGCTTCCCATACTTCCGATCCCTCCTCTGATTTTCCTTCCACAGCAAGAAGCTCTGCAGCGTAGCCAGCACAAAAACCAACAAACAAGCACCGCAAGAAATCCACATACCCTTCCTATAAAACGGCCCTTCTTGCGGTGGGAAGATATTTGTACCCAGAACTGGCCCACACTGCCCTCCGGTCGCCAAGATCGCCAACCCAGCAGCACGCTTCGAGTCTGTGGCATGCGTGTTCGAGACCCAGGAGAGTGTCAACGCCACAGACGTGAAGATGATAGTCGCGAGAAAGATGCCGAAATAGCGGACTGCAACGATTGTCTGGGTGGCCAGGAGGATGTACCCGATTGCAGCGACCAGTCCAGCGCCAGCAACGAAAGGGCCACGGACTCCTACTCGATCTGAAATGAAAGCACATGTGACAATGCTGATAAAGCACAGAACGTAAGGAGGCGCAGAAAGGCCGTTCGATTGGATGAGCGTGAAGGCTCCCATTTCCGAGATGATGGTTGGAACGAAAAGGGGGAGGGAGGCAAAGCAAACATTACAACCGAAGTAGATCATGGGCGGAAGGTAGCTGCGGTAGTCTAGGAGCGCGCCAACGGCTTGCTTCCATTGAAATTCATCACTTGTGCGGTCGCCGGGTTGCCGGAGGGAGAGCTCGATTGCTATTTCGCGGTCTCGGTCGGAGAGGAACTTGGCTTTGCTGGGGCTGTCGGGGAGCCAGAACCAGGCCACTCCTGCGAGGGCGACGGTTGGTAGACCTGGGATATGTTAGAGAGTGCCAAGATTGAGATCGGAGGTATCTGACCTTCAACGAGGAATAAAATCCTCCAGGCATGGATAGCACCATGCGCTTGTGAAATTCCATAAGCCAAAGCACCACCATATGCATTTGCCAGCGCAGAACCAGATAGAAAGAGACCAACTCTCAATCCCAGTCTCTCTCTCGGGTAAAAGAAAGACAGGTAAAGGGGCACAGCCGGTCCATACATGGCTTCAGGAATCGCGAGTAGGAAGCGGCAGACCATCAATCCTTCCCAGCTGGTACAACCAGCTTGAACACTGGACACCGTGCCCCAGAATAGAACAGCGAATGCAACCCAGCGATGAGGAGGGAAGACCTTCCATCCCATTTGCGTCCATTGGAAAAGAATATCTGTCAACACATCAGTATTTTTTCTTTCTTTCAAATGAAACAAATTCGCAAACGGAGGCTCTTACACGAGATATAGAAGATCGTCCCAAGCCAAGCATAGCGATTCCCACCAATATTGATATCTTTCTGCATCCCCGCGATCTTCGCATTGCCCAGGTTCGACCGATCAAGGACACTGAGCGAATACAAGACGAAGATTAGTGGCATCAAATGCCAGTCGAGTTTCCTGATCACGGCCTCCTCTTCTTCTTTGGTAAACCGAGAGAGGTGAGTTTCGACTTGTTCTTTCTGTCTTTCGACATCCTCGATGTTTGCTAGCTCGGGTTTTTCTCCTTCCTTTGATGATGAGCGATCGTTCGGCTCCGCGATGTCTTTCTCGATGTCATGGGAAGCCATGATGGAAATAGTTTAGGCGCTCAGCGAGCTCAGATGAGAGGAGGTAACGGTCTATTAAAAGCGAGGCTAAGGCTTCGGAAGGCCTGTTAAGTACTCGCGCTCATCTTTCCTCGTTCTGGAAGACTGCTTCCTTGAGCTTACACAACAGTTACTAATCATCGGATGCGGGGATTACAGTGGGTTGCAGCCGCAAAAGTAAGACTGAATCTTACACCAACTCTTCATCTCTCCATCCTCCTTGGATGAAAATATCCGGGGTACCTTAACCACTCCTCTAAAGGGGGGAAAGCCGGATGTGATCCTTGTGGGCTAGCGGCGGGGTAGCTGACGTCGCTGCTGAACCCCGCATATTTCAACGCCCGCCACTGGCCGCGAGACAACCTCATCCTTTAGGAAGTTTACTTCCGTGAATTCTTAACGGATATGCCCCAGTATCATTGAAAAGCTACCGGTGCCATATTGGTACACGTACCCCTTGCGAGTACGGATAAAGAATTAGCCTCTGGTCTTCAGAATCTGATAGTCGGTCTTTCTTGCAACATGCCGAGACAAACCGAGTCCTCTCCGCTCACAAATATTTCAACACACAGTGCATCTTTAGATTGCAAAATGGCAACAAAACACATAGCAACCTGGGCCAACGAGCTGAACTACTCGGATCTTCCGCAAGATGTAATCCAGTCGGCCTCCCGAAGCTTCTACAACTGGGTCGGCTGTGCTATCGGTGGAAGCGACCACCCTGCTACCACCATTGCTGTATGTCCCTTTCTTTCCCATCCTTTCAACCCCGTCTGATAAAATAAAGTACAATTCCCTTTCCCCGTTCTTTGGGCCCCCTCAGTCCTCACTCCTTGGCCGAAAGGGAGCCAAAATCGACGCTCAGCATGCAGCACTCATCAACGGCATCGCATCCCACGTGCACGACTACGATGACACGCATCTAGACACCATTATCCACCCCACTGGCCCCGTAGCTAGCGCTCTCCTCGCAGTCGCGGAATGGAAAGGTGGATTCTCTGGGAAGGAGTTCTTGCTTGCGTTGATTGTGGGGATTGAGGTGGAGTGCAAATTAGGTTTGGCTGTGTGGCCTGAGCATTATGATGTTGGGTGGTTAGTTTCTATCCATGAGTTCTCGAGCGGAGATCATTTGTTAACTGATTAAAGGCATATTACCTCAACAACAGGCTCAATTGGAGCTGCCGCTGCTGTCTCTAAGCTTCTTGGGTTGTCAGTGGAACAGATGAATCACGCTTTAGGTGTTGCAGCAACGCAAGTAATCGGACTCCGAGAAGTGTTCGGCTCACACACGAAATCCTTCCATCCAGGAAGGGCTGCCCAGAGCGGATTAATTGCTGCCGTCCTGGCACAAGGCGGGTATACCAGCAGCGAGACCGCCATTGAAGCCAAGCGCGGATGGGCGAATGTTGTTGGAGCAACAAAATCCTCCATCCCTGAAAGTCTAGAAAAGTGGCTAGGAATGGATAACCAAGACCTAGGACTTGCAAGTACCAACGGCGGGCGGTGGGAGATTTTGAGGAACAGCTTCAAGCCGTATCCATGTGGGATCGTAATTCATCCCGTGATCGATGGGTGCTCACAACTTCACCGGGATATCGCGAAACTCAGGTTGGAGGTGGCCGATATCAAGGAAGTGAAAGCGAAAGTGCATCCACTTGTCCTAGAATTGACTGGCAAGCGAAAGCCGAAGGATGGATTGGAGGGGAAGTTTAGTGTCTTTCATGGGGGCGCGATTGGGTTGATATTTGGTAAGGGGACACCTCGTCAGTATGAGGATGAGGCTGTGAGAGATCTTGCGGTTATTGAAGTGAGGAACAAGATTGAGTGTGTGGCGGATACGACGATTGCTGCGGACGAGACGAAGATTGTGTTGACGATGGTGGATGGAAACGTGCTGGAGAAGCATGTTAAGTATGCGGTGGGGAGTATTGAGGCGCCGATGGATGATCAAATGTTAAGGCAGAAGTTCGAGGATCAGTGTGCGGCCGTTTTGGGTGGGGGAGCCAGGTCAGCTAGTACGAAGTGTTGGAATGTTGAGGATATGTCGGATATTGCTGAAATTGCCAGATTGGCCTAGAAAATAGACTTCTTATATACGAGGGTTTTAGATTGCTGATAGAGTGGATGATGGCTCTGGCATTATTTGTCCCTGATTGTCCGAAACGTGCTTCCAGGAGCAAGAAGAGCCGTGGCGCAACACTTCCAAGGCAAAGATTCATGATACTAACGAACCTACGACCATAGGTCTGTGCTCTACAGGGCATTTTCCGAGCCTCGCTAAACCCGCTTCAGGGCTCAAAATCCAAGAGTCGTGACCGTCACTTCAAAAGTTTGGAGCCACTAAGACATTTATTATTCCCAAGTTATAGTACATCGTAATTAAATTAGATAAATTACCCTTTCCTCAATTTATATTATTATTTTTGAGAACTTGATAATTTTGTTTGGGTGCAAAATGCCCTGTAGAGCACAGACCTATGGTCGCAGGTTCGTAAGCAGAAAGCCAACCACGATTAACTGATTAGTGCCCTGTCCCAGGCGCCAAGAGACGCTCTCGCTCTCCACACTTTTGGTCTGATCATACTCATGTCGTCGTCAATAGCGTTGACTAGGAAACCACAACCCCTTCATGTTCATTTCCCCTTTTATACGCTCTCCGAATCAGAACTCTCTTCGATGCACCACCTCTGATTGTCAACTCTCTCCCCGAAAATCATTTGGTCGCTCTTCTCGCGGAACTGTCTTTCCAGCTCCTTCAGATTATTCGTGTTTGTTTCTAGGCGCACCCAAACTCTACAAACAGTTTGAACCCATCTCACTTCGCCATATGCCAGCATTACCTTCTTCCTGACGAGCAAACCCAGCTCCCACCTCTCGCGCGGATTGTGGGAGTTGAGGACAAGACATAGCTCCTGAACTCCAGATAGGAGTCTAGAGAGCTCTAACCAGTCCCAGTCACCCGTGTCAACCTTAACCTTGTACCACTTGTGGAGACACTGACTGACTGGGATCCAGAATGTAGACTCTGCCATGGGCGTCTTGGGACAGTGCAGGATGATCCCAGAGAACTCAACATTCAAACCCTTGTGCATCATATATGCAGTCTTTTTGAGAGGCCTGAACAAGGGGTAGGTGGAAATCTGCATGGTCACCCATGACTCGGGATCCCAACCGTATGTGCCCGTCTGACGTGAACGGTTGGCATTCAATTTGGGTCGTGGTAGAAAGACTAGTCCAGAAGGAATTCCGAGGCCAGGGGTTGCATCCAGAGCATTAATAGTCCCCACCATTTTGGCGGTAACAACGTCTTTGACAGCTGGGGCTTTGATCTCCAGGAGTTTGGATATGTCCATACCAAGTATGCTGCCCAGAACAATGGTTTCGCCTTCTTGTCGAGAGGACATGCGAAATTGGAGGGCTTGCCAGGCTCTTTGCACAGCAAACCCGAGCTTTCCGTCACGGAGTTGCTGACGCAGGTGCCAAACAGGTGAGCTGAAGGGATGTCCAGCCTTCCAGATGAAGTGATACTTGTGCAATATCCTGGACCAGAAGCATAATGTCGCAAGTCAGTCGGAATATCGGCCAGCAAGAATTTGCATATGTGAGTCCACAAATACGCATTTCGCCTCCATCGCTAAGTTCCTCATCAGCCATCGAGCTTGATCCAGGGTCAATGAGTACAGAGCTCATATATAAGAGTATATCGGAATTTTCTCGCTTCGACGATGGCTGTATGACTTTCAGTAGTCTTAATAGTCCCTTTGGGGATAATCTTGGGCATGGTCTCTGCTTCTTCAAGGTAGGCTCGAACGATCGAGCGTGGTCAGCCATCCAAAAGGCATGCGAAACAATAGAAAGTGAAATCAAGACGGGCAATGCACTATCCATACTGGGACTTCTAACGACGCTATCACCTGTCAACACTGCCTTGTGTCTCGAAGTGCGTGCCAGCCTCTTGGTACACATTACCGAGCTGGCCAGCCTCTGTTTGGGGAGGCACCATCCCCTCGCCGTCTTGGCTGGGGAGTTGAAAAGGCAAGACATCGAACACTGGGTATCTGAGACTGCACTATCCTGCGCCTTGGATACATTCACCAAGTCACTGCAAACTCGCCGCGCAGCACGACACCTTGAGCACATATACATGGACGTTGGGTCTTGGGCTGAGGCTTTGGCCGTTTGCTTCGACATTGTTGGTCGGGTTGATGCTCTTGGGCTACCAACGGATGGTACACTCCAGGACAAGTACGCCACCAGGACGATGGAAGACATTGCTACAATCTATGAAAACACGGGCGACTTAGAGAAGAGTGCCACTTGGCTGATGAAGGCAGGAACGAGCGCCTTTTCCCTATGGGAGTTGGGCCGCAAACGACTTATATTGTCGACAAGTTGGAGGTGTTGCTCCAGGGACGTGGTAGGCTTGACGAAGCCCGAATGTGGAGACGACTAGTACCCGCCATTGGGGAGCCTTGTTATATATCCAGTTCCGCTACTCACTTGTGAGCTCGGAGGCCTACATGACTTATCTTACTTGGTCTTGAAGGAGGTCTGCGATATTGGAATAAGCGCATTGTAACGACACGCTCTAATTGCGGTTGCAAGCTCCTTCAACGTCTGGATTTTGGGTGTGATTTTGTAGTTTCGTCTTCTAATAAACGAGGTCAATTCAAATTTACTTGAGTTACAATAGAATCGTATCCATAAGAGTTCAGACTTCACCCACTTTGATTGACGAAATCAATAATATCGAATGGAAACAACTTTGCTTGTCTCTTAAATTCTAATATAATTGACTTATCTGAATGGCATAAATAAAAGTAACGTGGTTTATGAGAATCTCGGTCATATTAGGACGGGAAAAAGTAAAATCACCCCCCCGCTTCGCCACTTACTCAAGTCTATATCAATACCAAGGTCCCACCCCCGATATAAGGCTATGGATTAATCTGGACGCGCAGCTCAGCTCATGAAGCACCCCCTTCCTCGGCCCTGTCTGTGTCTCCTTTCTGCGGATCCCTACCCTCGAGGTCAGCATAAAAGATTCATTTCGTTTAATAGCAATTGAGCATGGACGCCACTCAGCAAGGAGGTCCTACACTGTCCCCACTATCAAATGTGATATAGAAAAGGGACGTATCTATGTTTATATTTGGTCTCTCTTACTACTAACTTACTTGATGTTAAGGCGCTCTCTACTATTCTAAAACCTTTTTCATTATGGATGTAGGAATAGAGAATAACGGCTTCTTTAATCCAATGACGATCTTTATAAAAGTTGATGATGAAGAATCTCAAATAACTGTTTTACGAGGTATGTTCTTGCCAACCAATTTTTTTGACCATTGAACAAGTGATTAAAAGAGTGTAGCCCAACACCAAACTCGGAAACAACCGTTTGTCTTGACAGAAAATCTATGAACTATCGTACCCTCATTTGTCCACGGCCATTCTCTACCTAACCTAGCAACCAGCATATCTCTTAAGCCATTAGTACCGGTAGTCGTTCAGCACGTCGGTATAGGTAGTGGCATACCGGCTGGCGTGATAGCCTCGACGCCACCCTCGGTGCTACCCGTGTCCTGATCGACAATACCCATTGTGGCCCAGCCGAACGTGCTCTGGGACGAGGTGTCGTACATCTGCATATCGACAACGCTACTGGCGGGCCACGTGTTTCCGTTCTGGCTGATGAAGCAGCTGATGGTGTCCTCCAACTGTTGATACCCGCCCGAGGCGTCGAACGTGGGATTTGATGGGTCCGCCATCGCGGCCGACTCGTCGAAGCGCGCCATGAACACCTCGTTCGACAGGCGCTCGTGCTGGAAGCTCTGGCGCTTTGTATTGCCACTGGTGGTCTTGCCGGCGTAGGAGAGGGTGAACTGTGTTCCGTTAACGTGGCACCGGGTCGCGACGTCCATAAGGCCGTGCCGCAGGTGAAGGAATCGGAAGACGGGCGCCTCTGCGTGCAAGTGCTCGTCGTCGCGCCCGGCTAGGTGATGGCCGCGGGGCACGTAGCCCAGGAGCTCAGGCTCAGAGTCAAGCTTCGACGCAAGGCTGGTCGTAACGCCAAGAGTCAGCATCTTGCTTGTTCCATCGATTGATCGTGAAGGTTGGTCAACGTATACCTTCACGCATGACCAACTCATGCACCGTCTGCTCCGGCTCCTGGGAGCGCTTGCTGAAGACATCAAGGGCGATGTTTTCGAGGCCGGAGTTGTCCCAAACATTGGCACCGATGCCGAGCCAGCCCTTCACCGCAGCGGAGGCTCCTACGGGTTGATTTAACGACGCTACGGCAACAATTATTTTTTTTGGAAAATCAAAATTGATGAATCGCGATTTTTTTTTGGGCCGCATTTATATGGAAAACACACCTAATTATGGCCAAATAAACAAATCCCATGTATTATAGTCAAATGCCCTAATGATATTACTCTGTCCTCGCTGATTTGAACTGCCCCCGATTTCCCCTACGTTTTGATGGCCTATTCCCCGGCCTATAATCACCATCCCCTAGTAATTCCTTCTCTCTATCGTCAAGATCTGAATTATCATCGTCATCGCTTGATATAATCACCTCCCGCTTCCTCTTTAATATAGACTTCAGAGGACGTTGGGTGGGTGGAGCGGGAGCGGGAGCGAACGCTAGTAAAAACGTCAGATCTACTAGTATATTTAAATCTATTAACTTACTAGGTATAGAAGCAGGATCAGGAGTAGGATCAGGAGCAGGAGAAACCGTAATTCTAGCTTCTAGCATAGGCATATCGTCCGAATCAAGGTCGTCCGAATTAAGGTCGTCACCTGACCTATTCCCATTCTCTGCAGGAGAAACCTTCTCCCATATAGCTTCGATTTGTTAATTAGGAGTCAAAGCAGGTAAAGAAGATACCGTAGATATAGCCGTAGATATAGATATTGCATTAGGGGTAATATCAGGAGATCCCCCTAAAAAAGGAATATAATTTAGTAAAGGCATCTCCCTATCCCTCCTTTCACGCTTATCCTGAATCTCGTTATCTCTTTCTTGAATTTTATTAATATCTTAATTAAATACAAGATAAATATGCTTTGGCATACTCTTATTTAATTAGCTAAAATGAGATAATAAGCCATTAATATCTTTTTCAGCTTTATATATAAGATTAGTTACATAATTGATTCTCTTGTTTTTGTCCTTTAGCTAAACCTAATTATATTAGTACTAATTTTATTAGGATACCAATAAATACTAGCTTACTTTACTTGCAAAAGAGACTCCATTTACGCATTCTAAGATCGTAATCCATTAATTAAGCTCCCAGTCTTCAAGTAACGGAATTAATAATAAAAAAGCCTTAGCTAAATATATAGCGAATTCCTTATATACTAGTTTTTGACTATAGTAAAAAACTATATTAGTAAAGTAGTATTTCTATAAGTAAGCTTTACGTATGTATTAAACTATTCTATACTTTATAGCTCAATTTAAATAATTTGAGCCTCCCGGTACTCTTCCAAACTAAGGAACTTCTTTATAGTTAAAGCAGGTATACTTCTCCTAGTAAAGCTACTCTCGATCTCTTCTATTTCATATATATATAGTATAATAGAAACAAGGACCTTATATTATTTTTCGATAATAGGAGTGGGAGGAATTATTAATTTACCCTTACTAAAGGCCTTTATACGTGCCCCCTGGCCAAGAGTAAGAGATCCAAAGGCTTTATCCCTTTTCTGGGCCAAACCTAATAAAATTAGTAAATAATATATTAATATTAGAAATTAAACAGATAGATATATACTTTCGCCCTGAGCTTCCTAATAGAAATTATCACGTAATTGCTCTAAACGTTCGAGCTTAGCCTGCTACCTCCTCTTACGTGCTTTTGCCTCAAGGACCTCCTCTAAGAGATCTATATCCGGGAAGTAGTAAAAAGGATAGGAATTAGCTAAGATATTAATTCCTTAATCTCTTAATAATTAGGCAGTAGTATTTTAAAGTTGGGTTTAACTAGAAAATAGTATACTATCTAATATAATAATTAGTATAAGAGTAATAGGAGCCGGAGGAAGAGTAGTAGGGTTAATCGCACCGTATAGTAGACACTTTACTATAGAGGGGAGATATAGTGCCTCTCGTATAAAATAAGAGTTCTATAGATTAATATTATCTATTATAAACGTTTGGGGATAAAAGAATAAGAATTTGATTTATAATCGAATATTAGAAGGAAAGTATAGCTAATAAATCTAGTAGTTTAGTAAATAGTAGTATAAAGATAATTAGTAGGATAGAACTATAATATATTAATATTATTTTAATCCTTTAGCCTATATCCCTATAACTTTTTCCCTAAAGAATTTATATACTAGGGACCTATTTCAAAGATTATTAATAGTAGCGTATTACTAATATATAAAAAGGAATAAATACAAGAACTATAAGAGATGCCCTTTAGTATAAATTAAAATTAGATTTATTTTATTTATCCCTAGTATTATTATTACTTAAAATATGGTTTCCTATATTAGGGGCAATAGAATATTAAGTAAGGGGCTATAGGAATTAAGAGGGAAAAATTAAATTCTATATATTAAGATATAACTCTTGTTATTTTTACTAAATATATCTTATAATTATTTTAAAAGTTTACAAGAACTATTAATTTAATAAAGCTAGTATTAATAGAGAATTTGATCTATACTATAAAGTCCTTACTACTAAAATAATAAGTTAATAGAATAATTATAGGGGGTATAGAAATTAAAGGAGTAGGGGTCGATTTTCTGAGGAGGCAAATCATATAACCTTTTAATATTAAATTAGAAATAAATTACCTGTAACTATATGAATTTGACTTATTAAGCAGATTACTATTAACTTCTATATTTAATTACTTTAGTAAATATTAATGTTTTTAGCTAATTCTTTCTTTGAAATATATATTAATATGTCCTTATTTAACTTCTCTAATACCGGGCAAACCGTCTAATATTTACAGAAGGAATTTCTAGATTATCCTCCTCCTCTACTTCAGGCTCAGACATATATCCATCCTCTATAAACTGCCTATATTCTTGGCCATTTATGACCTAATTATTATTTGCCCTATTAAAAGTAATACTATCTATAGTAAATCTAGTACCTCCCGTATTATCTTTAATCTCCGCTTCATTATTAGAGCTAATATAGATAAGATCTTTATCTCTATAGCTAGTATCTCTCCCTTTATTAACGAACTAAATGCCATCTTAATTATTATAATACTTTAGCCTTGCCTCCTCTAATCCCATAGCTACCTCTAGTAATGGATTCCAATTATATATACCCTTGGGTATTAATAAAAGCCCTAGCTTTGGACAAGTATTCTTCATATTAATTAGGTAGTCGGTAATCGATTCCCTTAAATATATATAGGCACTCAGGTAATTTATCTCTCTATTCGAGTCAAATATAGACTCTGTAATTGGGAGTATAAAGCCGGTATCCTTAAGTTCTTACTTATATTACTCAAGTGTAACTTCCGGTAAATATATATCTTTATTATAGCTAGTATACCCTTTATATAGCTTGTTTAGTTTATTAATATTAATAGGAATACCGTAGTTCCTAACTCCCTTTTACTCTAAAAATATATAGTTCTAGAAGGGTTAGCCAGGAACGATATATAGACAATTAGGCTATTTCCTAATTAAATAGATATTCCAAACCCGGACGAACTCTTTAGTTTGCTCTCGTATAATAGGCAAATAGACGAAAAGTATAGCTATATAATCGGGGAAAAGTTTGCGAGAGTAAAGCCTTTAAGAGTATAGTTACTTAAAAAATATCTTCTATTTATTTAGTATGCCCTATATAATATTAGCTAATTAAATTAGTCTTTATGGGATTAGACTAAATAAATTACCTTTATAACTTGCCCCTACTATGCCTCAATTCGTTAATTAGCTATACTAGTCCCAAACTAATAAAGATCTGAGAACTAATATGGATTAATACCCCTTATTTGGCACATTGCTTTATAAAGAATATAATAGGTATTAGTAATTATAGGTATTTTGTATCCTTTATCCAATTGAATATAAAGTAGAATAATCTCTATTTCATCTACTAAGTCAAGGTATTAAACTAGGATAGTAACCTAGAAGGTAGTATAAGTAAGTATATATTAGTATAATATTAATTAGGCTAAAGAAGAATATAGTATGGAGATTCAGGGATTTTATTACCTAAATTAAGCGCAATTCAAATAACTAGTTCTCTATAATACTACAGAATTACATAGCCGGAATTATAACTAAGTAAATATTAGCCATTTCCGAGGGGGTATATTCATACCGAATTAGGAAGTAATACTACTTATAGCATAACTATTTGAGATTCCAATATAAATCCAAGGTATAAACTATAAGTAGGTATTAATACCGGCATATATCTCAATGCCACAAAATTATAGCTAAGTAAACGTATTAGTAGTTATTAAAATAATGATTTTTGAAGTTAAGTCCATACTATACTTACCTTATAATAGCCATTAATAGACTAAATAAAGTTCGGCCCATAAATATTATATTCCCTTCTAGCTGCCTTTATTTCTTCCCATTAATATTATATACTTTCAGGATCAAGTTCCTGTATTATAGAAGCTATTTTATTCCTAGAAAACTTCTTATTATTACCTAGGGAATTAAGATAAGTATATAAAAGCCGGCAGCCATAACTTCTAGTATTGCCTTGTAGGCCTTTATTAACTATATATTACTTGAGAATATAGCATAATTACTTCTTTTCTAGCTTAACTTGCGAATTAAGCATTCGACGTTAAAGGCCTATAGCTCGGCGAGCTTATTATAATAGTTATAGATTAGGAATATTATATCCTAAGCTCCGGAGGTTAGCAAGTATATTAGTATTAGTCATATGGATATTACAAAAGAACCAGGCAATAAGAGCCTTTATCTGAGGAGAAGGATCAAATATCGAATGCTGGGAAGGCGCTTTCTATTCGGAAAGCCTACTACGTAAAGTTCTAGGGGAAATATTAATATTAAAGTCCTGCTTTAATCTCTTTGTAATCTCATTATGTAATAGTTATTACCTAATTAAATAAAGTATATGGGCTTAATAGCAATTGTAATTAATCTTTAAACGAGCTATTATAAAGAGATTAATAATAATAGATCAAGAAATTAAAGATAATAATAAAGGAATAGAAGTATGAAAGGAGTATG